TTATAGAGGACTTTATCTAGACCAGAGAACTCTATTGGTACCACTAGCGTGGCTCTAAACCTTGTCTAAGAGGAAAGTCAAAATTCGGCCATAGATATACGACTGTTAGAGGGATTGGAGACTGGTCACGTGAGCGCATTACTACTACACTCACCATCCGCGTTTGTGTTAAGTATATTCATAGTCACGCCTTTTCTTTGACCTTGTGCTATTTCAATGGAGGAAGAGCAGAACCAACAGTACATTTTTGTGGGACTATTGTATTAGTTTGGAAGCTTAATACAGACAGGTAAGGTATTGAGCAGTTAGGTAAAGGTTTAAAGTAGTTGACTGGGTCCTTTATAAGTGCCTACAGATGTAGCGGATACTGCAACAGTAGAGCCTAAAGGGTATTTTCCACTTGTTGACTTTGTGGGACTGAACCAGCTTACTAGAATCATGAATGGTTGTAAGACTTTCATTAATGGAGAGCTACTATGATGAAATATTTGGCAATGTCAGTTTTAAGTTGATGTAATATTTATTTTGGTATTTATAGGTCTGCAAATGGAAGGATAAAACTGAGGTTTTTGTTTAAAAGAATCATGAATATAGGAGATATGATGCTTCAAAGGCACTTATAGGACACAAATTTTAATTATCTGTCAATATCATTATATTATTGTAGTATTCAATGCTTATTTGTAGACCTTATAGCATTTGGAGTAGTTTCTTGAAAGGATCATGATAGCTGCCATTGTGAAGGGGTGTGACTTAAGGCAAACACGGATGGTAGGCACTAATTGTGCTAATTGCCAAGAGTCTCCAATCCCTCTAACAGTCGTATATCTATGATGCTAGCAACATAAAAATTAGTCTAGGGATAGATGCTAGTCTCTCCTACTTCCTTTGATATAAATAATGACGTTAGTGACACCACTGCTGGAATGACAGGTCTCAAAAAGACAGCTCTTGCTCAAAGACAGCCTCCGTTGCTAGATGCAAATGTCAACTAGCATCCGTATCCTAGCGATGTATACGGAGATGCCCCGTTTCCAATCCCTCTGTACTCATATTATCTATGACTGACCACACCCATATAGGCACAAAATATAAACTATAAACTGCACAGCAGCCACAGCTTTTTTAGGCGGGATTGTGATTTGTGAGGAAGAAGAAGTTGAAGAAAAGGAGACAGAGGAGCTGAAGAAGAACCGCTGCCACGTGATCGGAGGAGCTAAAACGCATTCACTGTTTCAGACCTCGAAGGTGTAAATTGGCTCTTAAGAAGCTTATGAGTTAAACTAGTCTCGTGCCTAGAGCTAAACCTACCTGTTGGAAGTTGTAGCTAAGCCATTCTTTTCTTTATTTCTCTTCTCTTTTTACCAATAATGGCGAACCAGATTAGCAAGAAATGGTATAGAACACAATAGATAAGAAATTGATTTTTTTTAATTTATTTTTTAACAGGCCAAGCATAATGGAAAAGAGAAAGGACACTTCAAGCACAGGACCTATCACTTCTACAGCCTCTGAAGTATCGCTTAGATTTGACTACCAGTTAGAGCGTACTAGATCTAACAGTGATAGTACTGATAATGAAGAAATACCTGCGGTCGGCTACCCACCAGCAGGCGATGTACATGTATCTGGTGACAAGGTTTCACTTGAAGAGGGTGAGAGATGGAGGAAAGAAGAGATGTCTGACAAGGAAGAGAGCACAGAGGAAAGAAGAAATGAAAAGAAGAGGCTTAATCGAAACGAAGAAGGCCTGCAGGAGGGAGAATTAGAAGAGAAGTTGTCTAAGAAGTTAAAAACGGAGGAAGTTCAAGAAAAAGAAAAGGCAGTCGAAGTTCAAAATGAAGCGAATCATTCTGATTCTGATGCCACTGATATTGCGTTAACGGTCATGGACTACACTGATGATTTTTATAAAGGTAGGCATAACACATCCAATAAAGCCAACAGTATGTGGTGTAGTCCAGAGGTGGACTCTCCAGCTGCTAATGAGATAAGAGCATCAGGTAGTGAAGAGAATGAAAACGGCTCTTCTGATGCAAGCGATGAAGGAATTAGCCAACCCGTCACCAACAGTATAAACGACATTACCGACCGTACAAACTACATTGCCGACAGTGATCCTGAAGAACCCCAAGCTTCTTCAATAATGTTAAATATTGGTTTAGTGTATTGTGTACATAACTGGGACGCAAGTCCTGCTGAAACCATGTGTGCACATGTAGTTACTTT